TCTTTGATTATATACTTGTCAAATAATCAAAGAATTCTATCTATCTCTTGCACATTTATATATTGTAGCCTATAAAAGTCCACTGCTGAACATAGTCCCTCTCCATAGATTGCCACATAGCCGGAATTATGCCACAGTTGCCACACTAGGCAGGCGGGTTGCAAACCGCAGTTATTTTATTAGTTTGAGTTATTATCAGGAAAATGCTGTAGTCCATTGCCTGTTTCAGTTTCCTTTCGTTGCCTCTTAGGGCACCCATAGAATGCTATGGGGTAGTGGATGTTGCCACACCAACATTACACGGTTCTTACGAGATATTAATATAGTTTTTTTTTCTTAATCATTATACATAAGCGAAGTGTAGTATGGAACCTCACCAGACGGAATGACGAGCTGGTGGTAAACGGTGCATGAAATCGATGGATGCAGGTGGCTCATGACCGTGCTTTTTGGCGTTCCTTGGTTATGATGAGTAATTTACGTATTTTTCATGGTTTATCGAGTAAAGTGTTTTTAGCATCTTACACTCTTCGAACAAATGTTTAATACGTTGTGAAATACCTTAAAAATTATATTGAATTTAGTTTGAATTGAATTCAGTTTACAAACAACCTAATAATTTTTCTTTTCCTTCGTGCGGTAGTTTTTATAATATTTGTAGAATACGCCTTAATGTTTCCAAAGTGATTCAAATTTACGTTCACATTCAAATGGATTCCCCTTCGCTTATTCCAAAAAATACGTCCATTCGAAACCAACAGCGTTATGTAATAGCAGGAGCGGGTTCTATTCGGCTCTGTTTGGGCCTCACTCGGCCAAAATGACTATACGAAAATAAGCGAACTATTGGGCTCTTTTATTTTGAAAGCAATTGTCAAATTGTCAATGTGATAATTTTTTTTCTTTTGATTTAACAATGACAAAGTGCAGACGCGTTATCACGTCTGAAGACTAAGATGGAATGCCTCGTTTCCATTCAACATACGAAATACAGACCAAAAACCCAGAACATATCGGTAACGGGTAAGTCAGAGCTAGCTTTCGTTTATTCGAAAGTGTTTGTCGTGATGTAGAATCAATTTGACGGCTTGGTGGCGCAGTGGTTAAGTGTTTGGTTTCGAAACTGCGGAGCGGGCTTAAACCTTGCACACGACAAGTTTTAATGTGGCTTACAACTCGAACATATACACATTCCCAGGGGATATGAGAAACAATGTATTTAATTAATAATAACCCTTTTTATGATGTTTTTGTTTAATATATTTTATATAGTTGTTGTGGCGAAACGACAACGCTGATTGTTAGCAATAACCAAAAAAACATGAATGATATAGCTCCGGTATTAAAAAAATATTAAAGATTTTACGATGAAAAAAATAGTGGCGTAATAGATATCCTCCATTTCAGAAAAGTGCACGGAATATCTGCACGTAAATACTCTTGAACCGGTCCGTCGAAAAAAATTAGAATAAGGTAATCATAATATCTTAAATTTACCTGCACTATGGTTAAAATGGCCGACGGTGTATTGAAATGTAATTTTTGCTATGCACCCATTCAAATAAAATTTCTATATTTCTTCCAAAAATAATTATAATGTTCCCTATACCAAACTAGTAACGACGGCCAATCTCAACGGAGACTAGTCAGCCACGGGATAGTATAACAGTGCACGAGTGTGTGCGTACACAGGAGCACTCTCGATTTCTTCCCTCTTATAGTCGGATGGGACAGCAATCCGACACGACCGAAAAGAGACCAGACGCAGGACCAACTGCCTTGTATACTTTCCAAGACACAACGGTGAAACACCGCCAACTCCGTTAATCTGTAAATCAGTTTTTCTTGACAGAAAAACCAATTTACGGATTTTTGTCCGACCCGATATTCGAGCCTTATTAGACCATCGAGAAATTCAAAAGTTAAGTTGATAATTGCAATAATCGAAATATTTAGTAGGCAAATTGTCGAATCGACTGTGGTCTGGAAATTTAACACCTCGCTCTCACTAGATGGTGATATCGCCCTCTATTGGATATTCTTGAAAGTTTCCATGGTGTAATAGTTTAAAAAAGTACATTTACAAACTTTTTATTGTAGCACTGTCGAACTGTCGTATTTACCCCCATTTCTAAGTAGATTGTGAAGCATTTAGTCCGTCGCGCCGCCTTATTGCGTGTTGGAAGGCTAGAAGTTAAGATCGTTCCGTTTTAGTCAGGCTAGATTTAACCTCCCAAACGCCAAGCGTCCAAATTTGACTGCCGCGATATTCCGTCAAAATTCAAGAGGTCAAATTTGACCGCACCCACCCACAGCACTTTAACCCATAAACACTTATGTTTAGATACTACATTTCTATGAAGAAGTGTGGCATTATAGAATCTATATGAAATTTTCTATCTTCTAGTGGAATAAAAAACAGTTTGTCTAGGGATATTAATTTATATTCAACGTTCATTACGTACGCCATTTTCATTTGGATGTTGTTGTGTTGATTTTTGGATTTTGTAGTGTTTTACTATAGTGTTTTATTATACAATTGTTATAAAAGTTTTTGTGTAAATATAATTTATCTTTTTACGTAAATAATTACGAGTAATATATAGAAATAGTTGTGAGTTATTTAGACACGCCGCCGACATCCGGTTGGTATGTTTTTTTTTTTGGTATCAAAATACAATAAAATCTTTTTGTAATGAAGTAAAATCCGACTTTTGTTTAGACAGTATAGAAAATTTTGTATAGATTTTATAATGCCAAACTTCTTTATAGAAAAGTCTAAAGTCGCTAAATATAAGTTATAATGGTTTTAATTGCTATGGGTGGCTGCGGTCGCACGAGACCGCTCGGGATTTGCCAGGCGCATGCGACTGCATGGGAATTTAATGGGGATTGAGGGGTTAATTATTCAAAACCATACAAATAAGACGTTTATTTGACTTAAAAAAAGTTTAGTTTTGACTGTTTATAAAAAGTTAATAAATTGATACGAGTGTTAATTACCCTATTGCAATTTGTAATAACTTCTGGTATACGGTAAAGGTATTCAATTGTTTCTCCTAATTACAACGTCTATCATGCAGAGAAACTCCGAGCATGGCCCACTCCATAGCTCGCTAACCGACTTCGTTCCGGTAAGACATACGAGGGTACCCCTCAAAAACCTTTCTTCCATATCCGTTGTCGATTTTTTGAGCCATAAGCCCATTGCCAATTCAGCTTACTGAACCGTTAGGCTATGTCGATTGCTTTGTTTCGTATTGTTTTAATTTCGTTTGTTTTACTTAATTATGTCATTTATTAAATTATTACCTTTATAAAATAACAGTCCTAAAATTAATTAATTCCATTAGATCCATGGTCCCCAGTGAACGTTTTAATTCATTGCGCACTAAGCATAAGCAATTAAAGATTTAACGTTTGTCGTGTCCTCGATTCCATTTCAGTAAGTGAGCTCACTAACATGCCCGAGGGACGTCGCTTCTATGAAGATTGACGTGCTGTTTATAATTTCATTCATGTTATGACCACCCGGGACACGCAAATGATGATGTTGGACTTGAGAACATACTGTTAGAAATTACTTTAAAAGTTAGTTAAAAGAAAAGAGTACTTTATATTAGAAACATTCGTGGAATAAAGTGAGTAATTAGAAGTAAATAATACAAAATACGATGAGCTTAGAGAACCGGAGACCCTTTTACTGCTAATAAGCCATACCATCATAGTCCTCAAAGTGAGTCCACACGGCGCGTTGCATTGAGTTGCGTCGTCGCAACGCTAATATTTTGACGCATTGTCGGCCACACTGGCGCTGCGTCATCGCAAATAATCAATATTAATTTCTTTTAAAAACGAAATTAGCTTGCGTGCTATATATAGCATATATGTATATATATATACATATATGTATACTATATATGCGTGCTATATATATCAACGCACAAACAACTGAGCACACCTGCTTCAGCGTAGCAAGCAGTACACCCCTTCCCCTTCGTCTCGGGGACTTTCAGTCAGTCGTGTGCGCGTTGCGTCAACGCAGCATACCGTGTATACACTATGGTGTGTCACTCCCGTGCCTCGGAAAGCACGTAAAGCCATTGGTCCTGCGCCTGATCTCTCTCCGGTCATGTCGGTTTATCGTCCCATCAGATTATGAGAGTAAGGGAATAGAGAGTGCACCTGTGCTTGCGCATACACTTGGGCACTATAATCCTGTCCTGCGCCGATGGCTAACCTCCGTTGAGGCAGGCCGCCGTGTCCCAAATTCGGTCTGGAGGTCATTATTATTATGGTAATTAGTACGTTAAACGGCGCAGTGACAGCGCTACGTCAACTTAACGCTGATGCAACGCGCCGTGTGGATTTAGAGCAAGCCACACGGCGTGTTGCTTTGCGTTGCGTCGTCGCAACGCAAATATTTTGACGCATAGCCGGCCACACAGGCGCTGCGCCATCGCAGCGTTACTACGACGCAGTCTTAACGTTCCGTCGGTGCAGCGGCGACGCACAGTTGCGGCAAGCATTTTGAAAAACATCGCAGTCAGTCTGTAGGAAAGCATGGATTGGAAGAAACGCATTGCTCCTATTACTACGTCACCGCCGAAATCGACTCAAGATCACAAGACGGTATTGGATCTGTCCCTTCATTTCATTAAGAAATAGTAATGGAGAGTTATTTTTGTTAGAATATCGGGAGTTGCTATTAGACGAAAAGAAGTTTTATAATTTTTTTAGAATGAGTGTATCCAGCTTCGAATGTTTATTGAAGTCCTTAGAACCACACATACGAAAAAACTATACTAATATGAGGAATCCAGTGGAACCAATAGAAATGCTGGGAATTACTTTAAGGTAAGAATTTATATAAGTAATGAAAACAAAACAGGTTTTTTTGGTCTGTTTATTATATAATCAACTAATCAATATCAGTAATCAATTAACAAATAATAAGCAATTGTCATAAGTTTAAGTAAAGAGATAACTTTATCCAGTGATTACATATTTGAAAAATCGTATTCGTTTTCTTCACTTGCTAGAGATGCTTGATCTGGAGATTTAATTGAATTATTATAATCAGAATTGTATGTACTTTGAAAATTTGTTGTTTGATACCCATATGATAATGGTTGTTGAGACGTTGATAGGCCACACACATATGATGATGTTTGTCCATACCGCATTTCGTTTATAATTTGTATTACTTTACTTTGGAAACTGAGAGTTTCTCGGTCGGAAAAATCTTGTATTGATGGCAATATAGCTCTGAAAAAGGACATATGGCGATTTTCCGGCTCCTTGAGAAGTTTTAATCCTTCTCTTTCAAACTCATCTATTTGCATTGCCCTTTTGCGCGCGACTGGAACATAGCGCGGAGACTCGTCTATAGTAATTTCATCATTTGTAGACGTAGATTCAGTGTTGCTTTCTCTAGGTGAGTTTAAGCTAGATTCGGTGGCATTTTGTTCCACTCTTCTCAAAAAAAGAAGTTGGTTATATAAATGATACTTTTTCAGATTCGTAGCGCCCGAGCCCGATTTTGATGCTTCTTTTATTTTTTTTAAGTATCTGAATAAATTATCTTTGATACTTCTCCATTTCTTCACTAAATCATTACCTGCAAAACCAATAGTAAACAAGATTTAATAAGTTATACTATACATCGTGAATTTTTGATTACCCAAGAAAATTTACTTACTTTTTTCGCGATTCCAGAGTTGGTCACATAGTGAAAGTTGTTTGTTATCGATGTCTGAATATGACAGTAAATTTTTTTGGGTAATCAAAAATTCACGGGGTATACTTAAAAAGAGAAAGAGTGCCTCATAAAAAAAATTAACCGACTTATAACCATAGATCGGAATCTGCAGGTCATTCTCTTACAAACTGGGCCCCAATCGTACACATCGGCTGGAATGACCGACAGATTCCGACCTCTGCTTATGACACACAATACCTAATTAATTTTTAATTTCCTTCATCAAGGGTCGCCTGGAAGAGATAACTTCAGGCTATAAGGCCGCTTTTTAGTATTAATTAGTTCTTATGAGCAATAAAGAATTTATCTATCTATCTCATAATTATTAAAATAATTGTTTTTGTTTCAGATACCTAGGAAGTGGAAATTCTATAACGGATTTACATTTGAAATTCAAACGGGGAAAATCTACTATTGCGTATATGATACATAGAGTTTGTCGTGCTTTATGGACAAATCTTCTTCGAGACAACATCCCAGAACTGACAGTTGAAAGATTCCAAACAACAATAGCGAGGGATTTTGATGTAAAGGCAAATTTTCCTCACTGTGATGGTGCCATCGACGGCAAACACATCCGCGTGTGTAATCCTGCAAACAGTGGCTCACTTTTTTTTAATTAAAAAGCCTTCTTTTCGATTGTGTTGCTAGCTATTGTGGATTTAAATTACAAATTCATTTTTGTCGACATCGGTGCATACGGAAAAGAATGCGATTCAACCGTGTTTCAAAATTCTAAACTGTACGAGCTAATGATTAACAACTTACCACTACCTCATCCCCAGCCACTCTCTGGTTTCAATACACCAACCCCGTATGTATTTGTGGGTGACGAAGCTTTTGGACTGAGCAAAAATATTATGCGTCCATATGGTGGTCAAAATCTCGACTTACAACAAAAGGTTTTCAATTATCGTCTAAGGAGGGCCAGAAGATACGTCGAATGCGCTTTTGGGATTATGGCAAACAAATGGCGCATTTTTCACAGACCGATAGACGTGTCCTATAACTTCGCTACTGACATAATAAATGTCATGTTGTGTACTACACAATTTTGTCGTCTGATCGAGAAGGTTTTAGACAAAGAGATAAATTTGCTATAAGTGTTGATGAATTTCTCCCAATACAACACGCAGATGAAGAACAGACAGCACCGAATGTCATAAGACAGCATTTTGTGACCTATTTTATGACTAGAGGAACTCTGCCTTGGCAGCTAAATAAGGTATAATACTATTTAATTTAAAAAAAAATATATAGTGTAAACTCACAAACTTTGTTTTTTCGTTCAGGTGTGAAATTCTCGTAATCAGGAAATAAAACTTTTGATATTTGTTCCCAAGCTTTTGTTTTTAAATTTTTATTTTTAAAATCTACGTGTGACTTGTCCCATATTAATTTCCCTTTTATCCCATCCCATTAAATTTCCCTTTCCTGAATCAATGTAATGAAGTAATCCATGTCAATTTCTTCAATGGTACTCATTTTACCCTGCAAATAAAACTGAATACAAAAGTACGTAAAAAATGAAATGAGCTTGCGTGTATCCTCCCTATCAACGCACAAGCAACTGAGCGCTGCCGCTCCGACGTCGCATTGAGTACACCCCCTCCCGCTTCGTCTCGGGGGCTGCTGTCCGTCATGTGTGCGTTGCGCCGACGCAGCGCGCCGTGTGAACACCTTGGTTATTTGTATGTAAAACAACGCAACGTCAGCACTGCGTCGACGTCCCGCGCCGTGTGGACTTGCTCTTACCCTTAGTGGCAACGCATCTGCTTTTTGATTCTTAACTGAATATAGATGTAGATGTCTATTGGCCACAGCATCCACCTGTCATCAGGTTAAGTATATGTTCGTCTGTCACCCTTATTCTATAAAAAAATAACACCAAAATAGAAAAAAAATGTCTCCGCAATATGGCTTTCTATTCTTGTATTCATTGGGTTCATAATTTTACCCTCACTTTCTTTCTTTTTCTTTTATTTTCTACCTTCATTCATAACAATATTAAGTATATTTCGAAATTCTGTAAACTTGGTCAATAAAAACTATAAATGGGAAAATAAAATCCTTTTAATAATGATAAATATTAATTTGAAGCAGACTATAAATAGGATTTTGTTATAATATCGCCATCTTTTATATTTTTACTGGTGGTGTCCTCAATAATACTATAATTGATACATTAAATATTGGTACCCCAAGCTTTACTATCAACTTTCCAGTTTGAGATAAATTGATTGCAAGTTCGCTTTCTCTTTTTTTTAAGAATTAGCCGTATCGATAGTGAAAACATAATTAGGTATTTCCTATGCAATTACCCGTGGAATAAAATTTGACTGTAGTCGATAACATCATTTGTTCTAGAGATATGCAGATACAAAATGAATATTAACGCACACCTCACAGACGTACATTTAAAACAACTGTCTTGAGTGTGTGTAGAAATCCAATAAGCTTTAAAACTACCCCACTCGTTCACAAACCAACTACTCCATTCATCAGTCTTAATCGTTGTCGTTTTTCTGCTCGTTGTCGTAGTTCTGGTAGTGGCAGCAGAGCAGGTGATGTTGTAGCAAGGCTAGGCAAGGCATCATGGTGGGCTATGTTGCTATTGATTTTTATTCTTCATTCATTTTGGTGAAATATTTCACCTTCGTCTAATGCGTTCCATTAATATTTTATAAAGTAACGTTGTTACTAAGTAGCGTTCGTGTATTAACATCGTTTTCAGTGCATTTCTAACAAAACGGAAACAGTATTCCGGAACCTCAATGCGGAGATTTTTTAAAAATTTAATAGCCAAAGGTAAAACATTTTACAATAACTTAACGAGAGGTTAAAAATTACAAACTTTTAGAGAAAACCCGTAGCAATTCATAATGACCTATGTTCGATTCACGTCGGCGACATTGAAATTGTTCATCGCAATTTTGAGTGCTGACGTACCATGTGCTCGGTGGTGAAGATAATATTAAGAGGAAGCCTACTTCTCTGGAGAAATTTAATGTCTAAAATAAACCCAATATCGGAAAACGTACTCTTTAAAACTATGAGGAAACCCTGTGCCTAGTCGGAATATTTATAGAGTGTTACTTTGACGGCTTCGTGACGCAGTAGCGTCGCATGGAGTTGCAGAGCTGAGAGCCGCAGGTTCGAACCCCATACGGCAAAAGTATTTGTATGGCCTACAAAAACAGTGCCGGGTCTGGATGTTTTTCCTTGCTTTAATTCAGGAGAAAGTTCTAGTATAGGGGATAAAGTCAAAAAAAGGAAGAAAAGAATAAAAAGACTTCTTAATTATATCCGGTTGTTTATGTTCGGTCACATCCATAGACAAGCATCCAGCACTTATTTAACACGAAAATGCGTGTTAACACACGTAAGCCTCTACTCGTTAAGCAATGAATGTGCTAGTATTGTATTTATTCTATGTAGCTACGATAAAAATAATATCATTACAAAATATATAAGATAAGTTGAAGTTAAAGCCTATACACGTCCCACTGACGGGCACAGGCCTTCTTTCATTACTAAAACGGTTTTGGGGCAAATCTTCGAAATATATATTTTTCTTATTTCTCAGACATACAGGTTTTCTCACAATGTTTTCTTTCACCATAAAGCTTGTGGTAAATCAACACTTAAGACTGTAATAAACAATTTTTTTGGTACCGGCGGGGAACGAACCTAGATTTCTCGCGTATTGGGAAATTTATAGCGAGCGCTTAGCCCCTGAGCTACCACGCTATAGATATATAAGATGTTCGCTCTAGTGATCTAAGAAGACATTATAACACCTTTGGGTTAAGAAATATTTTTTATTTGCTATATCCTTTACCTTACTTTTATAGCGTATCAAAAGTCCAAAGCTGTAAGTAAACCTCCCCCATAAATTGCCTCATGGGAGGAATATATGACATAGTTGTTACCCTTGGTAGACGGGTTCCTTCCCTCTGTCACCTCTTACAAAATGATGTGGGGTAGTGGATATACTTTTACAGAAAATATTAGGTATGGGTAGTTGAAGTATTAATTCCGTGTGTTGGGGATATAAAAAAATAATAAATTACTTCTATACGTTCCTTTTCTGTCGTGCAGTAGCTAAACGTTTGACCGCGGCGCTGCAAGCCTCGGTGCGCAGAGCACTCCCTTGACATCAACAAGTCGAGTGGGCCTGATGGCGTCCCTCCTATTGTACTGAAGACGTGTGCTCCGAAGTTGGCACCGGTTTTAACGCGTCATTCCCGGTACTCCTACTCCCTAGACGTAGTCCCCAAATCAAGGAAGACAGCCTTCGTGCACCCGATCCCTAAAAAAAGGTAACCGCTCTGATCCATCCAAATGTATGCTACCATCACCCCTTGTTTTCTAAAATAATGGAATCCATTATTAACAGCCAGTTCATGCGGTACTTTGAAGATTACCAGCTGATTAGTGACCGCCGGTACGGTTTCCGTCGCGGTCGCTCGGCTGGTGATCTTCTAGGTGACCTAACTCATAAATGGGCGGAGGCAGTAGAGTCCAAAGGGGAAGTGTTGGCAGGCCTTTGTCACTCTTGTTACCTACATGAAATAATTACCTACAATCGCAACGCACCCAGGGTGAAATACGCAGTCTTGGCTAGCGCGTTGTAGGCGATTGAACGTTAAAGTTTTTTAACGCTGTTTACGTAAACAATTTTTTGTAAATACTTGTTGAAATAGTTTTTGTTTAGTGTTGAGTATTTTTAATTGTAGGATAAAATAGTTAAAAAGTTTTAATGTAATTTAAAAATTATATATATATATATATATATATATATATATATATATATATATATATATATATATGACCCATCTATTTCATAACTTTTAACGGAAAAACGTCGTTCCTAATATAGCTGTATTGGTAATGAGTAATTTGGCTCGGAAGAAAAGAAAAGCTAGATAATGTTAACAACAAATAAACTTAAAATATGATTCCTAACAGAAATGTAATCATATTTTACTTAGTTAAAATTTTGTTAGTAAACAAAGTTTTAATTTCAGTGTTTTGTATTATTATATGCACGGACTTTCTTCGCGTGCCAAAATCCTTAACAAGGATATACGCAGAAGAATAGGAGTAATTTTTGTGAACAAATTTTGTTCTTATGTTTACATGCATTAAATTGTTATTGAGTAGTTTTAATTTGTAAATGAAGTTTCTATGTTCACCATTTCTACCCCTAAAAACCAAAAGTTATTTAATTCTACCAAAGGAACCAAATATTTCAATAATTTAAATGTTAGTTCGCATGCCTTGAGACAACGATATTTTTAATCTTTATCTAAAGAGCTTAATTAAAACACGATTATGTCGCTTTGTTATTACTCATAAAGAATAACATAAATAACTAAATAAAAATGAGTTTAGCAATAACAAAAAGGAAATTAAACAATCTTGGTGGATTAATCTGAGGAGAAAATTATGCCACGATAGAATTTATAAGATATTTTATGATTAAGTAAAAAATAATTTATATCGTTTACTGACAAGAAGCCACAGAGGACTTCAGTCCACCTGGTGGTGAAAAGACTATGCAGTCCATAGACACTTAGCTTAACGCTGCTGTTTCATATGGTGAGTGTAGAGAACCGGAGACCCTTTTTACTAGAATCGAGGCGTTCCATCATTGTCCATACGGGTGACAACGCATTTGCATTTTCATTCTTCATCGAGGATAAATGTAGAAGTCTATGGGGCACAGCATCTACTTACCATTAGGTGGATTGTGTGCTTGTTTGTAACCCTCTAAAACTTATTCACCATTTAGAAAATACATTTAAATTTTTGTTACTTATAATACGGGTTAGGCCTCGTTGGAAAATCTTCGGCAGCACGCTCGTTTGGTGTGCATGACGAACTCACGCTTACTGTAGTAACAAAGAAAGAAAAGACAGATGATGCATTTATTTGTCAGTAATAAAAAAACTAAATTACTCATTACCAATACAGCTATATTATAATTCCACTCCTGAACACAGGCCTCCTCCATAGATTGCCTTAGAGGGGGGACACCTATCTTAGTTGCAAACGCTGGGCGGGCGGAATGACGATGGCATTTATTTTTTTATTTTTAGTTGTTATTTAGGAAGACGCTGCTACCCACATATTGATTGTAATCGGTCAATTGAACTAAATTAACTAAACTAACTAACAATACGCGTCGAATGTCTTATCGTATGTAACATATATAGTCGGTAAAAAGGTCTCAATAATCACGTTGCTTATCACGTTAACGCATACAATATTCACCTGTTGAAATTAGTTGAGGGGTTCTCCTGCGCAGCCACCAGACGGCGTATTATTTTTGTCTTACGATGTCAACAAAAGGCTTGATATTAACTTGATAGCAGTTTATTAAGGCGTGACAACGTTTTGTGTAGCTACGTGTATACAGTTCCATAGAGCTCCGGGAGAGATTAATTGGAGAGCCCTCACAGAAACTGAACAAGGCGCTTCCAACCCGTTGTTAGGTGAATAATAGATTTGAGATAACTGCGGAGCTTACTAACATACAATTGTATTCTTTTGGCTTCCGATGATACAGGGCCAAAGGACCTATAAATGTAGATTGTGGATTAATTTATGAATTGAAACTACTCTGTAATAGCAATATTAATACAAGGGTATTGTCTAATAAATGCATGTCAATAAACTAAGAAATTTAATAAAGATAAAAGCGGTCTAGGTGCGACCCGAAAGGTCCAAATGACTAACTTTCCAGTGGAAAGAATAAAAAATATCATATGTTTTAATATTTTATACAATCTTTCATTCGGCACAAAAAACGACTTGACCGATTTTGCTCAAAATTTAATGAGGTCTAAGTTACATAATTATGCGTTAAATGGAAATGGTTCCATGTCAATATCACTCTTTGTTCTCGAGATACACGAGGCAAAAATTGAATCCGAAAATACATACATACATATATACGTACATGTACATACACGGACATCCTCTTAAAACCATA